AAAAACTGTGAATTAGGACCCGCCGGCCGGTACTAGGCCAAGTGGAAACGCAACCAGACGGGCCGCTGACGTCACAGCCCTCTTAAACCGTGCTCCGCGCTGTAGTGGAAACGCGCCATATGTGTCTTCCAGCACAAGAAAGGCTCTTGAGGCCTAGTACATACAGTGGCAATGTCTCAAGATTTAGCAAAATACACCTTTATTGAACATACAGTAACACAAATACTACGCCGCCGCTATTTGTATAGGGGAAACACTGGTTTGATTGTTACACTTTTGTAATTATATTAGTTTTCTAAATTCATTGCTGAGAAGGACTACAATAACTTCAATTTTGTCATGTGTCAATGTCTGCAAACATGACAGAAGTATTGTAGTATTAATCGAATCATACGCAAGTCAAATATCTGCGTCGACATTCAATTGAGAGTTTTTCTGACCATTTAGCTTCTAATGTTGTTGCTACCTGTGAAATAAACAGTCCACCAAGTGATGGTGGACATGGACTAAACAGTCCACCAAGTGATGGTGGACATGGACTAAACATAGCAACAGCCAGCAACACGGCAAAAGGGTCAAACATATGTCAAACATTTCCTGGCAACAAAATGTTTCCCTGTAATACTGGCAACAACAGTGGCAACAAGGACTGCTGCTAAAAAACACAATAAACAGTAGGCTATCATTTTGATAGGGAAATTCTCTTTTCACCGGTTACTAACCTCAGAGAGATCGAAAGGGAAGGTCAGCTGAAGGAAAAATATCTGGGGGGAATCTTTAAGTAGGTCTGAAATGTTGCCATCTACCCTACTTTCTACAAGGTTGCAAGTGCGTACAAAGTGCAATCCAACCATGTCAGAAAGAAAGTATTTTTGGCCTAACAAAAAGGTGCGGATAAAAAGCCTGTCACTATAGTAAGGGGCAAGATGCCACAAAGGTACAAAATGGAGGTAATGGTGCACTTTTTTTTACAGTAGAAAAGTGACATTTATAGTGTTGCGAGGACGTTTAAATCCTGTCAAATGGAACATTTCGGACGGAGAACCCAGATGGTTTAGAGGAGGCGTGAAGAAGGCCATCAACAGTACATCACGCAGAAATAAACGCTTCTGAACAAAAGCCGGTTTGGGACTGCAGCATCACTTTAGCAACCACTTACATCACCTCCTTCACACCTCCCTTTGTGACTCCAATGTCTCTCACATTACGACTAGCAAGTGTCTCTCATGTGAAGTCGAAGTGTGAATTGCTCACAGAGGTTAAGTGCTGTGGAAACTTCCCGACAAGGAATTCAGATAAATGGCGAGGGAACAATTCTTCTAGTGGCTTTTCATTACGATTATTAGAAATTCCATTATCTGAATGACTTGGAAGCTTCATTAGGGTCTTATTCACTACTTCGAAGAAAAACATACCCGCATAAACAACGGTTGAAAAAACAGGACTATAACTGAAGCCGATTTCGCCATCCAACTTCCCCCGTCAACTAAAATCCATTTAACACAAGCCAGTTGGCTGGTTTGCTGCCATGACAACAGAGTGCCGGTGGAGGGAAACTAGACGTCAGTTTAAATGTCACAACTTCTCTCCTAACAGCGGTAAAACGGTGAAACAATCAGCGTTTCAATGATGCCAGAAAGAAGTGGCCTCCGAAGAGTGTGTGTGAGACAGCATTCGGCTTTGAAAAGGGCTGCTTTAAACACACAATAGCACTCACCTTGAGGATATGAAAACTGCAGACGTATTCTGACACATTTGAGCCCTCGCTCATTGATTTTTATGGCGATAATTTCCATAAATGAAAAAGCTATTCAAAAACTGATGGGATTTTTGCCGCCTACTCACAGGCTGGGGGTTAATTGAGGTGGACAGTCTGAGTCATGACACTAAATGGCGTTAAAACAGCACTTATTTTTGCCGGTGGTGCGTGAATGTCATGGCTGTTCATGCTAAAATCGGACCCCCAAACCCCTGCATGCTGTGAAAGGCTTCTGTCCGGGTTACTCAGCTTTTGGGTCGACAGTAGATGCAAATATGCCGGTGAGATCATTCACAGCTTGCTGTCAGACAGTCACAGCTGCTTGTGGTAAGATCGTGCCAAGGGAAGAGCAATAGATAAAGATGGTTGTGTGTTTGTGCGTAGGTGGGTGGGTGAACTGTGTGAAAGATAGACAAACGGACAAAGAGTTCAACAATAACTTTGGTTTCTAGAGTCAAAGCCTCTCAGGTTGATCTTTGTCTTTTACGATTGATAAATGGCTCCACTGGCGTATTATTCACCAACCAATGGACTTACACAATAGCTGGCTAGCTGGCTGGTTGGCAACTGCCCCCTAAACGGAGTTCAAACCTGTAGCATCTTGTGACCAGATGTACCAATAATGTGCCAATCATTTCCAGTTGAAGAAGACTGCAGTTTGGCCCTGGTTTCTCAATGCAAGTTAAATTCATATTGATCGACTAGTTGTGATCAGATGTCCCTTCTCCATCTCATTTGACTGTTTCTGCTGCAGACTATGGCAGTTATAGGGTAACTCATCACAGGTGCAGATGTAGAAGACATTGTGGAAATGTCTTCTACATCTTTTGTGGAAAAGTGATTGGCAGAATTGAAATACCTAATACAACCAACACTGAAATTACAGGTTCTGATTGGTTGGACATCTGCATCATAAGGTCCTTTTTTATAGATAAACAACAACAAAAACTGAAGGTCAGTGTTCATTTTGTCCACAACAACTAGAACTGATTATGTTAACAATTTGGAGAGGTATTTCAAAGATGTATTATATCTGTCCAGAATTATAAAAAGGTTTCCCACAGAAGAACTAGCATTTAAATCCAATATTTCATTGATTAAGAACTGTTTGATGTACTTAAATCTGCTGTGCTTGTTGTTGCAGGAACAGTAAGTAAGTAAAAAAACATTTGGGTTAAATTACTTGAATGGCAAAAATGGTTTTGGCCTGCAGAAATATGTGTTCACTGAGGAGGTATGGGATAAAAACCAAGTGTTCTTCCAGAATTCAAGGGTTGAGTTATTGATAGACAAACGGTCATTCCGGGATATGAGTGTTCCTTTAAGTGGGAATAAGGTCAACTGAATGACTGGCAAACCATCTCACCTGGCTGCCAGTGTTCATTACATTATGGGATGTTTGGATCAGCTGGTTGCCTGAGTGATGATCGAACGCTGCCCGCCAGCCTCCTCACAAATTGACTTCCTGCCTAAGTGAATGAAGACCTCACGTATAACTTGCCTTTTATTCCCTCACGATCCCAACTACACAATGAACTTGACAGCCCTGGATGTTACCTTCACGGGGAAATCATCAACCCGGACAAACAACATGACAATCACGCCTTCATGCGAAGAAGCACTGACCGTCCCCCGTCCCCCAACGGCATTGAGGTCGTCGCTCTCACAAAGAAATCAATATCCTGCAATGATTAAGCTTGACGCGGCGTATTGGCTGCAAGAATCTGGCCAAGTTCACAAAAGAGAGCGGAGACAATACATGACTTTTGTTGGACGTCAGCAGCTGAGCGAGCGGAGGAGGAGGAGGAGGAGGAGGAGGAGGAGGAAGAGTTGACGGATGTGAGCCAGCTGAGCCGAAGCATCGATCAAACATGTGCAACCCGGGCCCACAAAAAAAAAAAAACGCTGGTTCCCGGAAAACAGAACTTCAGCACATTTCGCCTCAGTAATGTCAAACACAAGCTTAAAAATTATGACTCATTCATTCATTCTTTCTTTTGTTGGTGTCCCACTCACATCATAAGTCACCTTCAACATGAAATGAATCCACTCTACCAGCAAAGCAAAATGTGAAATGACAACCAGGAGTCTACAGAAATAACACCAGCGAATAAGATCCAGGAATTTGCGGTATGTTGAAGAGATTTCCTCGAAATATAAACAGACGCCCACCAAGAAAGGAAACGTGAAGAACCCGGAGATTTTACAGCTCTGCGTTTGTCTCTACTTGGATATAAAGGTGAGCCCAGGTGTGACGAAAGACCTGCTTTCTGTTCATTATGTCACATATGTTGTTATCTTTGCGTGACCCGCCTTGACGTCTGTTCAACTGGAACCTGTTTTAAGAGTTTTTGTTACTGAGCCAGGCCCCAAAACACAATATGCTGTCGTTGAATCACGAGATCAAATTCCTTATCCATTACACTAACCCTGTTTAAAAATAGACATCACGTCACTTTGTGTATATATAGGTAAAGCAATGTTTGTTTTGTACTCTTTTGCATCTTTAAGGACCTTATATCTTTCAGTTTTTAAAAATGTTGAAGCTGAAAAAGAGCTGCAATGATTAGTCGACTTATAAATGAAGTGAGTGAAATATGAAATTGCAAACATCGATCAATTGTTATCCTATTTTTGGCGATACATTCTGACTTAGGCTTCTTAGGGTTAGGGTTTTTGAGGAACAGGGATGTACATTTTTTCAAATATTATAAATAAATAGCCTTTTTTATTGGGTAGTTAATGAGGTTTGGCTGATTGTCCAGAAATAAATGACATCACTTTGGGCTTGGGTAACTCAAATAGGGCATTTACATGTATTGATAAGAAGCAAATGTGTACCATTATTCCACACAGTTAATCTAAAGAAGGTATTTGCATAAAATACAAACCCAGCCTGTCCAACCAGCCAGGTAGTGTGTGAAGGAATGTGTCTAAGTAAGACAAATATATTGATTCATTCACATTATTCATACATTTGAGTTTGTATTGGGTAGTTAATGAGATGTGTCGGATTGTCCACAAAAGAATGACATCACTTTGGGCACTTTACATATATTGATAAGAAGCAAATGTGTCCCCTCATTCCACACACAGTTTATGAGCTACATCGAAAGAAGGTCATTTGCATAAAATACAAACCCAGCCTGTCCAACCAGCCAGGTAGTGTGTGTGCAGGAATGTGTGTGTCAGCCTGCTGTGGTATGTCTGCATTGGACGCCTTGCTGACTGAAATACTCACAGTCAAGGTGTTTCTTCTTGGGTCCACTGACTTCATGCGTGGTGGCTTTGCACACCGCCTTGCTGATGGCAGAGCCGGTCATGCTGTGCTGGGCTGCTGCGATCCGATCCGTGATAGATTGGCCCGACATCTCTCTCTCTCTATCCTTCTGCCTTTTCTTTCCTCAATCAGCTAAAATAGCACAATAACGATCCGATCAATGGATCAACTCCCTGCGGAAAACCACTCCACGTGACTTCACTGTCAAGTGGAGGTAAAGGGCTGCGATCTCACACACACACACACACTGATGTTTAGTTTCAGGTGTGCAGTAATGTCAGATCACACACAAAACTGCAAGAACAAGATGATTTGCAGGATATTTTAAATCTGTTTTTTAGTTTCAGGTGTGCAGTAATGTCAGATCACACAAAAAACTGCAATTACAAGATGATTTGTAGATTATTTTTAACTTGTTTGGCAACACTGTGTCCTATCTAATCTAGTAAACACACCAGTCTGTGTTAGCTAATGTTCCCAGTGCAGTACTGGAACCAGGAAAGAGTCCCACTGTGGGATTTGTAAACACTGGAAATTACTTTCTGGCCACAAATAAACATAGCTAACTGGCTGGTTTTATAAATCTGTAATTTTCAGAGATAGTTTGGGAGACAACAACAAAAAAGTAATCCGTATGAAATCACAGCTTGGAGATCAACGATCCAAAAAAAAGAAAAAAAAAAAGATTTTGAGTTCCTCCTCCACGTCAACTTGTTAGCTTGGATTAGTTAGCTCTCACTGGTTGTCGCTTGGCAAAGTGTGTGTTAAACCCTCCTCCGGGCGAGAAAAGTCATTCAAAATGGAGCACCACATTGTTTTGAGTTTATACCAGGTGACTGTGTGGCTGACAGCCGGGACAGGTGCAGTTTCTCCCGGTTGAGAAGAGGAAGAGGTGTTAGCCGAGAAGCTAGGTTAAGCTAACCTGCCAAAGAAGTGACTGTTGAGCCGTTAATTTAAAAGTTAAAAATGACAGCTCCTTTTAGCTCGGTTCTTCCCTTTCACTGTCCAGTTGGTGTTGTCCTCCAACTACAGACTCCTCCACGGTACCGGCTTCCTTTTCTCTCCCCGTCCTGTCCTGGGTTTCTGTCTCTAAAAGTCTCTCCAGTGGTTTCTCTTTACGAACTGAACTGCTGCTCGCTGCTCTGCTGCCGGACAAAATGGCAGCGTAAAAAATCAGCTGATCTCACAACTGTGCTGCCTTCACGGACTCCTGAGAGGCTCGGAATTTAGAATTTCAAGACTTTCAAAACGTTCAAGTAAGCTAATGTACTTTTATCTCTTGTGTTTATGCTTTTATTTATTTATATTAGTGAAGTGAGTGATGCCAACGAATTCTCGTTAGAATAAGAATAATAAAGAGGAAGTTAACTTATTAAATATAGAGGAAAAAAAGCACACATTAGTAATATCATCAAAATAAAGACAAATAAGTAAACAACCATGGCTAAAAATGAGTAGCAGCAATTTAAAAAAAAAAAAGTTATATAAGTAACATTCAGTATTAAGGTGGTGAGACATTGTAAAAGTGTTGGGACATTTAAGTTATTATTGCACAGCACAATTGCAAAAAAGCTGTTATATTGCACATTGCTTCATTGCCTCATGTAATCTCTTGTTAGATTTTTGTTAATATGCTGACGTTGTCTTTTTTTTGTTTCATATATATGTCTATTCCTGCGTAAGTAGTAGCCAACATTGAGAGAAATAAAAAACGAACTGGAATCAGAGATAGTTATAATAATCCATGAGTCGTGGCACAAAATAAATTGACAACCATTATGATTATGAGTTTGATTACTTCAACCTACATCATTCCTAACTGAATACCCACTGAATGGGTCTTGCAGCACTTTGAAGATGACATCTGCTCTGGGAAACGTTATCATATGTGTGTATTATCCATGATCTATCTGCAAGGCAGGGTTAAAAGGTCATTATTCTTTATGAGCCACTGAGGTGTAGGCAAGGCAAGGCACGTTTATGTATGTAGCACCTTTCAACACAAGGCAATTCAAAGCGCTTTACAAAAAGGAAAAGCATTAAGAGCATTACAAAATAATGCAGCAGAATCACATTTTTAAATGGCCTTAAAAAAGTAAAGAGAATAATATAGACAAGAAACAAGCTAATATAGAATAATACAGGTATAAAATACACGAATAAAAGTTACAGTGCAGTGTAAGATATGACTAAAGCGGAGAAAACGTGCAACAATATTTAAAAATAAAAATATTAAATGGTAGCAGGACTAAATATAAAATGACATATATTATTTATCTTTAACAATCAGTATTTCTGAGTGGAATAAAAAAAAAAGGATTTATTACTATTGTTCAAGCTGATAATGACTAAATAAAATATTTCCGACTGCTCGTGAACGACCCCATTGTCTATTGGACACTTGCTAAGGAGCGAGTGCAGCACCTTAAGGTGCCACGGTTTAAATTGTAGCGGAATGTAGGGAACAAATCTCTCAAATTACACCTGTTTGTCCAGAATAAAAGCTTTTCTGCTACAATATAACATTAAACTGACTTTAATCTCTGTTGATTTCTATTTATAAACGCTTCTCTTTTGGTGCAATAATCCGCATTTAAGGTCGTATTAAATTATTTCTCAGACACCGTGTCCTTGTTTGACTCCAGACTATGGAACACGGTGTGCTGAAAGATCATTGGAAAAGCATCAAACCGGATCTGAGAGCTAAATAAATCAGACATCTGAACGTATTTCACACATTGCATAGGATATAATTGGATTGCATCCCAATATAAGTGGTTTGCATAGATTACAGCTGCATGGCATGATGCAATACATCTGATTTTGTGCATGTGTGAGAGTCATGACAGAGTGGGGAGTGATACCATAACTCACAGATGGGTGCATTTTTTTTTCCCTGTCCGTTTTTTTTGTTTCATTTTGAAGCAGCTGTAGTTTGAAGAATTTCCCACCCAGGTGAGAAATACTGCAAGCAGTGGCAGCAGCAAGTGATTTCGACCTCCAATGACCTCCCCAATCTTTTTCCAGACAGAAGGGAGAAAAGCCTGTCCAATCGGTCCAAACTGATGATTGATGCAATGACATTTCAAAGCATGGTGATGGGAAACACACGCTTCTGATCAGCACAGGACAAAAAAGTGTGTGTGTGTGTGTGTGTGTGTGTGTGTGTGTGTGTGTGTGTGTGTGTGTGTGTGTGTGTGTGTGTATGTGTGTAGTCCAACTGTCAGCCTCATCTGGTTTCTTTTTCCCACGTCTGCCAAATCTAATGAGGTGTGTGTGTGTGTGTGTGGGTGTGTGTGTGTGTGTGTGTGTGTGTGTGTGTGTGTGTGTGTGTGTGTTCCGGAAAAAAACGTGCATGCAGCAGAAAAAAAGGAAATAAAAAAAAAATGCGAACCACAGTGGAAGTGGTTAGCTCTGCACACTCAGGCCACCAAAGAAGATCCCAGGGTTTTTCACTGTCACAGCTGATGATGTGCCAACACAAGTCTTTCATGTGCAATAACAGCTGAACACTCAAACAAATCCACAGTTTCTCATTGGAAAACAGGATTGCACAAATCCCAGCCTTTTAATGCGTTCTCTCTTTGTCTTTTGAGATATAGCCAGAAATGCAAACGTTGCCTTGTCGAATCGTGTAAAAATGAGCATGAAGAATTGAGCAGCACGAAGATTGGCATGCAGACAGTAACTCAGGGAGCCTCACTCAGCCTGCTTTGTAGTGCAAGTGAAAATAACTGCGGCACCCAGAGGAGATAAGGTGAAGTCAGGGTGAACATGGCAAACATGACACCAAGCCTTCACCCTGCTCTTTATGAGGCATCAGAGCCAAACACTGATTTGCTCGCTGCCGTCATCTCCCCCCTTTTCATCCCTCCACTCTGATTTAAAGTGCAGCGCTGCCATCTGCAGGCGGGAAAGCTGAACTCACTATTTCCATGGAAACTGAACGGATGCGGGGAGTGTAGCCCCTGGCAACCGTCTCTGGACCGAGATTGTATCAAGAGCTGTCAGTTAAAGCTGCCTTAATGTGCTGGAGGAGATAGGAATAATCATTTTGACAGAGGTGCACATAGTTTATCTACAATGTGTAAATTACCTGTGGTATGTACTGGGATTACCATGGTTACAATCAATACAGTAGGTCAGCATCAGGCGAGGGATTGAATCCTTTGCAGACCATTTACATGCACTAAAATGTAATATAACACACTACAGGAAATGGGAAACCCAAAAAGCATAATAGAGCCCCTTTATATAAAAAATAACTAAACCTCATTATTGAAATGTGTAACTTGACTAATTGCTTCGAAGTATGAATGGATATGTAATGCAAGTAGAGCAATTCAAATCCAAATGATTTGAATTCTTTAAAAAGGTTTCTATAGCGACTGCCCATACTGGTGCTGCAGCAATACACTCATGATTGGATACATGGATGCAGGCAGTGGTGTATAGGGCTCCTGGTGAGAACTATTCTATCCCTTTGAATTCCCAACAATGAAATGCCAATTCATATACGCTCTGTACCCTAAAGCCCCCCTCTGCTCTGCCATTCAACCATCACCATGAAGCATGACTCACTTGACTCCATGCGCTCCAACTCCTAGTTACTCCATAATCATCTTGGATCATTAACTTTTCTTCTTTTGTGTGAAAAAGCTTGGTGTAATTTACCAACACAATACCCTTTAACATTAACCTCAAGCGTCACTGAATAAGACTTCAAACTGGGGATAGATAGAGGTTGGTCTGTATATATAACTGTCACATATTGAACCTTGTTGTAAGTTATTTTTTAGAGTGAGATAAGCCAATATATAGCCGGAAATAAAGCTGGAGATCCGCAGGAGGTCCTCTGAGGCATTTCTCTTGTTGACAGATAGTGAAAGAAAAGAAAAACAGACATCCAAGGAGATGCTGGGCTTAAAAATAACACATACCTCTCGAAAAATATGGCAATACACGTCAATATAAGAAGCCATACTTGTCTTAAAAAAGGTGTTTCCTTCCCTTCAGTCATGTCAGGTGTACGCCAAGTAGAATTTGACAGATTTTAGATTATAGTCTGAGCAATAAATGTTGAAAACTGTCGGCTATAAATCAACACATGGAGCTGCAAGAAGCTCACTTATTAATGTCCTGCTCCAGCAGTCGGAAATATCCTTCAGTCAACATGTTGTAAGTCTTAACGCATGCATCGTTTCAGGGTTAAATATGAAGCGCTGCCTGCTAGGGAGTCTGTCAGATCACTTATTCATTCATTGACTTAAAAAGCGATATGAATAATAAGGCTGATTAAACCTAATTGGAGCATTGAGATGCAAACTTGATCCTCTGCCCTCTGCCCAATAATCAGGTGAGGTGACTCATCTCTCGTCTGAAGTGTTGTTTTCTTATTTAATCAGAGACATTATAAAGAGCTTTTTGGTTCTGAGAGTATTTGACAAAATATTTGAGAAGAAATCAGATCAGAACAGATATTTAGAAACCAAACATGTATAGTCAGACAAACATCTCGCTACAGTGTAGAGCCTGCACTCAAACTTTACTGTAACTTAGCTATAAAGGCAACAGTTTTCAAGCATTATAGGAGATGTGTGAACTTCTGCACATTTTAAATTGCTTAACCATATAAATGTGTTTTGCATGTATGTAAAAATACATGTTCTGTTCTTGCAATTGTGTGAATTTTGATTTATGGTTGCTCAGTCAAAAGTACTAATTTGTGTTTTCAAGTTTGTACATTACATCCGTTCATTTCCCTTTAAAACAGTTGGATTAGTTCAAAAGCAATGATTTTGCGACTACAAGCTAACAACATTGCCTTTTTGGTTTGAAAACAGATCTATAAACAGGGGTGCACACAACTTTCTCAGTGGAGTCAGTGTTTGGGGGGGGGGGGGGGGGGGGGGGGTAGCGTCAGTGGAGTACAGCGCTTCGCGATTGTCAACGGGGGGGGGGGGGGGGGGTGGTAGTAGAGTACAGAGCTTCGTGACCGCGGAGCGTGTGAACGTTGTAATCAGCTGTTTTAGCGCAGGGCTGCTGTACAGACCGACGTTAACAGCAGCCCTGTCTGTGCACACGGAGACCGACTCTGTCGTCCGGTGAACTAACCGCCTTCTGGAAAAGCTTCACATTTACGTCGGTATGCAA